TGTTGCTTGTGGCTTCTTGTTCGGTGCCTTCCTTTAGTTCGGTGTTATAGGTAGGTGGCCGGTTTAATCATTTAATTACTCGGTTCTAAACGATGATTTGGGTTAATATATTTCTAGTTTACTATGCGAAAAAAAGTCTATATTTTGATGGTGAAATTGCTTTCTACCATTAATCCAAATTTTGTTGCCATTTCAACTGAGTGTCCGAAGCTATACTCCAAGAATGATTGAGGTAATATCGAGCTTCATGTTTCTGCATCTCATGCTCGTTTTATTGTCACTATGTGTTGCAAGTGTTTATAATGTTGTCTATGTTGTGGATTTAGATGAAACTAAGGCTACGTTTGATTAATAGGTTTATTGAGGGATTTAAAATCTATAAATTTTAAATTTACAAGTTCAAATCCCCATACATGTTGGGATGATAATGGAAGTTGGAGGATTTCAAATTCTTGTTAGACATTTTTTAGTCATTATTTTGAAGGATTTTAAATGACTCATCAAACCTAGTCAGTTGAAACCCACTGTTTATCACCGTTGACGACTACACTATCCGTAATTATTTAGGTTAATCACCACAGCGAGTCAACACACGAGATAGACAATAAATATATATAATATTTTTAACACATCCATTAAAAGAGTATACAAATAAAAAAATTATATTTAAAAAATTTTGAAATCAAAAGATTTCAAATCACTCAAAAACAAACGTAGGCTCACGGTAATTATCAAAAAACCTAATTGGGTATTCCATACACACATTCATTACCTTTGCACCCTTTCCGCTCCTCGACCTCCGCTCTCAGCCCCTCGGCCGCTCTCGGCCCCTCGACCGCTCCCTCGTCATCGATAAACCTCCGCTATCCGCTCCCAGCCACCGTCATTGAGAGAAACCCAAAGGTTGAGAGCTTAGGACATCGACAAAGGGTTTGCCATTGATAACTTTGAAAGTGGTGAATTCTCGAGCATCATCCCCGAGAACCGTCGCCGGAAGATCATCTAGCAGCAGTCTCAAAGGGGTACACATTTATTCAATTTTTGTCTGCCTTTCAGTTAATTGTGTGTTATGGGTTATTTTTTTCTCTAAAAAAACCTGTTAGAGGTATTCGAGGTAGCATAACAACAAGAGTGGTGAGGCCGGCAGCGAGGAATGTAAAATTGGAATTTTTTTGAAAAAATTTGGCAGGTTTTGTAAAGGTTTTGTGTGTCAGCGGATAGGGAACCTCTGCAGTTTTGGTTCTCGAATTTTTTTTCACCAAAATGTGATTTTGTTGGTTTTATGCCTGCGGTTTGAAATCATTTTTTTGGTCTAAAATGCGATTTGTTGTCGATTTTTTATTTTCAAAAGTTGGTTTCATATTGTTTCTTTATGCCTGCGATCTACGGCGGATTCCGTTAGGTCTACGGTGACGACAGCAGCCGAGACTTATGTGTTTGTTGCTTTCCCTTTTTCCTTTTTGACTTTCATTACCCTTTTCTCTGTTTTCTGTGCTTCGTTGGGGTATTCTGTGTGTATTACGGTCCGCGAGAGTTTTAAGAACCTGTTGCTGACAGAGGAGTTGTTATAGGGAGTGATAATCCACATAATTTGGTTTCTTTTGTTTTTCAAGTCATATGAGTGACTGGACAGATGGTTATGGTATTGAGTGGCTTTTAGGGGCAATTTGTTATTTGCAGCTGTGGCCACTCTATATGCATTACAAGAAGTTGAATTTGTGTGACTTTGGTTAAAAAGTCGCCAATTTAGGCCTCAATGCAAGATATCAACTTAGGCTTATGAGCTGAAAATCAGAGGTAAGATGAGAGAATGAGGTTTTTTGCTGAAAATCAGAGCTAACATGAGTGAATGAGGTTTTTGTGCTTTAAATCAGAGCTAAGACATCAACTTAGGATTCTATAAAAACAAAAAACAGACAAAGTAAATGAGATTTTTGCTGGTAGAATAGTCTAAGATTAGTGAATGTAATTTCATGGGGAATTCTGGCTATTTCTTGAGAAGCTTTCAGTAGTTTAATGCATACGTCATTGGAAAGGAGTGTTAATAAGAATTGTATTATACTTTGAAGGTTGACGAAGTAGGGAGAAAAATATTAGTTAATGTGTGGAGGAATCCTGATAACACGGGGTTTAACTGGAACTCAGTTATCTTAGGATCTTCAAACATATATAAATAACTGATTTATGCCCTGTACTGAATCTTGAAACCTGATATTTTGCCCCTGATTTTAGTATACGGTTACATGAAACAATTTTGCTTCTAGAGTCTAGATATATTCTCTGGGACCTGTAATCTTGAATACTTGATATTTCCCCCCCTGATTTTATAATATTTATGCCCCTTATGTCATGCAGACATATAGCAGCATGAACAAAGGAGGAGTGGGCCTCGGAGTTGGAGCCGGTGGCGGCAGTGGGCTGACCGCCGCTGCAGCGGCGGCGGCGGCACAAAAACAGAAAACCCTTCTGCAGAGAGTGGACACAGACATTGGAAATCTTGTTGACAATTTTGGGTACATAGTCAATGTGACTCGGGTATGCTGATTTTTTTTCCTATTTAAATTTATTTGTGTTTTTAGATACCGAGAGTTATACAAATATTGTATGCTCAGAACGGCATTCAGTTTGATGTTGTGTACAACAGATAACGCTTCATTAGGAAATTCTTTACTTAGAAATTTCATTTTTCTAAGCTTATGCAGCTCACATTGTCAGTTTCCAGCTTTTTGGGAAGTTCAGGAAGGCCAAAGGAAGTAAATGAGAAAAAATGAGTATACTGACTACAAAATGATATTATAATTAATATAGTAGTCTGATACACTCAATGCAACGATGCTTTCGGAATGTGTAGTGTTGGCTTACGTAATTCCTCAGTCGTTTACGTTTTACTTTCTTGTGAAGGAGTTGATTGTTTCATAATTCTTGATTGGAGATTTTAAAGAGCCGAGTTAATGAACAAATAATATTTGATTCACCTTCCAACTATTCATTATTGGATTGTCGTCTTCTCTGTTCTTGTTTGTCAGTGTTTGAGTTTTGAACCTCATAGAGACAACCAGTGTGGTATTAAGAATATCTGACGTCAACATGACATATTTCACGTGTGGCACCTCTTAAAATATGTGCGTTCCCTTATGGTAGAGTAAGAATGTGACACTGCCCATTGGTGGCTAATTTGGTGGATGGCTCTATTTTTCTGCCTTGCAACTTTGTGTCAATTAGTCATAATTTTTTCACATTAATTTTTTTAAAATTGTTTGTTCCTTTGAATAGAATCTTAGGTTGAATTTATAGTGGATTAACTATTAGCAATGTCATATGTCCATGCCTATCCGTTAGGCAACTGTGGTATTCTCTTGCTTTGGTTCAATGTTGGATATGAATGAAGATTTAAAGGAAACTGTAGTGCATCTTTTAGAGCACCTCCAATGCGCAAATGTAGTTGTAGTTGTAGTAAAGCACACTCTACATTAACTAATTTAGCAATTTCTCCACTTTTAACCCTCCAATGCACAATGTTATCACAAATGTAGTGATGAGGTGGATATAATTAATGTGTATAATGTAGAGAAGAATGTGGCTCATCTGCACTCTCTTTCACATTCTAATCAACCAATAAAGAGAAAGATAGAGAAATATTATTACCATTTTCAAAGTATCTAATTATATAATTTATTTTCTTATTTCTTATGATTTTTTATTTTAGCCAAGTGGACAATAGTATGTTTGATTACATTGTGCATTGGAGATAATTTATTAGATTTAAAATTGTGGACTTAAAAATTTTCTTATGTGGTTCACAATCCATCTAGTTCATTGACATTTATCAAAATTTATGTAATAACAACAATCATGATTGGAGATGCTCTTAGGTTAATGATCCACCCGTGCGGAACTCCCAAGAGTCTTTCATGATGGAAATGCGTGCGGCTAGGATGGTGAGAACTTTGTTGAATTCTCTACTTACATAACAAATATTCCAAGAAAGAAAGAAAGAAAGAAAATTCTTGGTTCTATTTTATTTTGTACTTAATGCTGGTTGTGTGTTTTGGGTATTTGAACCCACAAATATTAGGTTCAAGCTGCTGACTCGCTGCTCAAATTGGTGTCGGAGTTGAAGCAGACTGCAATTTTCTCGGGATTTGCATCTCTGGATGACCATGTAGACCGGAGAACGCATGAGTTCAATAATTTGGCTGAAATTACGAATGGGAAATTGTCGAGAATTGGGGAGGAGGTTGCAGCTAGCCTCAAGGAACTCGAGTCTCATTACTACTCGTCCGCACTCAGGGCAAAGAACGTTAGTCCACACGATGCTTCAGAGTAAAGGGAGGACACAGAATTGTAATTTCTCAAATATTATTGTAAAAAAAATGTTTCTGGTGTGTAGTTGATTGATATGTGGTTTGGCTGAGAGCATATTTACTTTACATTAGATTAGCTTAAAGCACATGCACACTTTTCTTTTTATTTTATTTTATTTTGGAACTTTTATTTGATAATTAACGTTCTTGAGCACCAACTAGTGAGACGCGTAATCTTGTTCCCTTTATCTTCATTCATATTTACTCCTCCTTTGTTTTCCATTCACTACATCTTGATCTACTGTTTTGAGCATACAGGAAAATTGAAATGGCAATGGGCGGACTGTTTTGAGGAGGTTTAAAAACTATTTTATTTTGCTTTCGTTATCATTTTTTATTTTCCATTTTTACTTGTATAGTAATATCGACATGGTGCTAGCTGAAATTTTATTTTTCTATCAGTTAATGGATTAAGTGTTTTGTACAATGTGATGTTATGCCAAGAGCTTATTGTATTTTGTGTTAATGAATGAGCATATAGATGTACTTCTATCTTACACAGATTACTTGTGTCGTGTACCACATCATTTTTAAGCGTGTTGTTTGTAGTTAAGTTTAGATGTACTTTTGTTCTGGGTCTATCTTAGTCACGGTATGGTTATTCTATTGAAATTTATAATTGCTTTTGGATCCATTCAATTTGGATGTAGATTCAAGAGCTGCTTTTGAGGTTTATGGAGAAAGCAGTGAAAATTGAGCAGGGAGGTAATGCACTGCATATTAAGCATCAGATAAGTGTGAATGGGATTGATGGGCTAGAGCTATACACTGTTTTGAAAGCACTGGATGTGAGTTATCTTTACTGTTGTATCTATTGATATGTAATGCTGATTAAGAGAACATTTTAGTTCCCTCTCTACTAATTCCATGACTATGAGTATTGCTCGTACTTCTTATGTAGGTTGCCGGCATACTCGATTATGGGCTTGCTAAAGTTGCAGATTTGATTATTAAATATGTCCTTACTCCACTAGTGAGTGCGACTCCATATATAGAAGAAATCAATCAGGACTCGGGCCATGCCCCAGAGGCAGTGTTTAAAATGGTTCCTTCTGTTGATCCTGCGGTACGTGTTAGGAATATGGCATGCGTAATTACTTTTCTCTTATATCTAGCTTGTTCGTACAACAAAGTATGTGTTTGAATAGCAGACCATTCACACATAGTTTTGAAATTCTTATATTTCTATGTACTCCAATCTTCTTTGTATTGCAGGGTAACAAGGTGAATGGTGAAATTATGTACTCCAGCATTCTTCAGATCGTTGAGTTTGTTAACAAGTTCTTAGTCTTTTGAAATAGTTCTTGGATGTGCTGTTTCGGAAGATTGACTTGGCCACAAATGTCAGATATGATTATTTCCAATTTTCTTTCCAAGGTCTGTCATTGTTATTTTGCAGTTTCTTCTAAATGTCAATGATAGGTATTCTCTGAAGAACTGTTGAAAAATATACATGGTGTTTGCATTGGTACATGTTTGGTAAACAGATTTCAAAGTTTTACATATATATAAATTATCACTTTCACATGTTTGGTAGTCACAGTACCATCCACTTTGAATTCAGGTTGTGCTGCTGATGCTTCCAAGCTGGCTGAGTTCCAAGAGGTCAGGAAACTAACAATTTATTTCGAGGCAGCTCTAAAGGGACTTGGGTTCATATCCCCATCTGACATCAAGTGATGAGAAGCTAAGCAGATTTGCTGACAATGTTGAGATTCACTTTGCATCACGAAAGAAAGTTCAGATTTTGTCTTAGGCCAGAAATATGCTTCTGCAATCTAATTCAGTCTTCCTCAAGTGAGTATACAATCTAGATTCATAGCTCTTCTGATACTTTGTGTTTGTCAGTCAACCTACATTGTTTCCTGCAGGACTTTGTTATGAGAATTTCAGGGGTCCATAAGGAACAACATGCTGGAGATATCTCTAATCATGCTGTTCTACTCTTCTCATCTGAGAAATGTGTGGTCTCTGAGGCAGCCAAGCAGCTAATGGAGCTTGTGCATCAAAATCTCAAGGTCAGTTAACTGTGTGCAATGCAGCACCTAGTTTCTGGTACAGTTGTAGAGTACAAGTCTTATAAAATTAAAACCACAAATTGAGTCTCTGTGAGAATGTCTTCTTTGCTTCGGATTCTGCTGGTTTTAGGGATTAGGAATCCCTAACCTTTAGAAGGAAGATGTCGAAAGAAACTTTTTAAAATACAGCTTCTCATTTCTCTTCCTGAGCTAAGTACATTGGTTCTCTCCATGCACGCGCGTGTGTGTGTGCTCTATATAGCTTATTTTCTTTGGGATGGTTTATGCAGGATGTAAGTTTGTTACCTCCAAAAGTTGGATTGGAATTCTATCATGCTGCTAGAAAAGCTTTAGTTCTTTATGAAGCTATCATACCTGTGAAGGTTGGTGGAGAATGCTTGTGATTAAAAGTTTATGGACTTTTTACATTTGTTTTAGGGAGTTACTATTCTGGATTTATTTACCTTTTCAGTTAATCGTTTGAGAATTTTATAGATGCTGCACGAGTTTCTATATAGACATGGTAATTTTGTGACACTCTTTCTTGAATTCTTGAAGCTTCAAAGACAGCTGGATTCCATCATCCAGGCTGCTGTTCTGATTCACAATGACTGCCTCTACCTATCTCAGGAGATTCTTGGGCTTCCATTTGAGGTATGCCTGAATGTGGAGTTGATGACTCTTTAATTATGTCTATTTATTAGAATAAGATGAATACTAATATATGAAATTTAGTTTCTTATTTGTTTCGAGTTACATCATCCTTTGACTCTACTATCACAAGTCTACTTGAGAAATTCTCCATGTTATTGGTCGGCAGTGGCAGTCTGCTGATGTCATTTCACTAGAGGAACTTGATCTTTTTGTTTTTAAAGTATTATTATTATTATTATTATTATTATTATTATTATTATTATTATTATTATTATTTATGTGAGGAATTCTTCATAATCTAGACACACATGTAACTGTTCATAATCTTTACTCGTATCTTTTGGAAATAAGACTTGCTATTATATGTTTTAAGAACATGTAATTTTCTTTTTATATATCCTAGTGGCCCTTCTGTAATGTCACAGTATCGCCCATGCTTTCCCAGTTCTGTGAAATAACATGTGATATTTATTGATTTCGCTCCCAGATTCCAGCTCATGGCTGAAGATGTTTTGAAGAGACAAATTCAGCTTGTCCTTCAAAATTTGAATCAGGTACATATATTTGTGGGAAATTATATGGGCACACATTTTTACATGATCTTAGTTTTTAATCTGATCTGCTGTAATTTTTTTATTTTATTTTATTTATTTATTTATTTATTTATTTTTTTTTTTGCTAGGCTATTGATGGAGCTGATGGATTTCGAAATACCCACCAGATCAAACTATTTGAATCAGCCAAGTTTTGTATAGACCAGGTATGCAATCGCTTCTATTTCCTTCCTCTTCTCCATTTTTGCCATAGTTTAGTTTCAAGACACTTTAAATTTCTTCAGGTTATGTTCATTATCGAGAAAGTGCACATCATTTGGGAGCCTCTCTTACTTCCTTCAATCTACGAGAAGAGCATGGCCATGATTTTAGAATCTGGATTCTCAAGAATTGTAAAACAGATACTTCTGTTGGATGATATGGCAGCTGAAGAAACTCTGCAGGTACAGAACATGGGCACGCATGCGAAAAATTAGTTGAAAATTCTCAAAGTACTTTCTGTCACACCGTATATTACAGCTTCGAAGACTGATCCATTTGCTATTTGAGCATCTCTCGTCTTTATTGGAGCCCCCTTTGGCCTTTGACCACACAGGAAGGTCACAAGATGGCCAGAACCACACCGATTCTTTTATATTATCCATTCGGAAGCTCAGAAAAGTGGCAGGTACCATTCTACTTGCTTTCTTTCTTCTTGTCTTTTTTGGCATAATTATAAAATCTGCCCCTTAGTTCTGAACTAGTTAAGAAAAAAGCACAGTTTCTCTTTTAAAAAAATACCCATGAGTTTTCTCTTTTGCTTTTTTCTACTTTTGCGTTAGCGGTGGGGTTGTTTCCTCAAACCTTTTTTTTAAACTTTATTTTAAATATTTTTTTATAAATTAATAATTTGATTATAATGGAAAAAAAGAGAGAAATACAAAGTATAAAAATATCATGTATTATTAAACACTTCTCTATACACAACATTATTTGTTTGATTTTCTTTCGAACCTTCCTCTCCACAAATTAAAATTTTCAGACCGTTTCTGTTATTAACACGGGAGACAACAACATATAACTGACCATGACTAAAAACTGGTTTTTTCAAAAATAAGGGTACCTTCGTTATAACATATTATATAACAAATGTACCTTCGTTATGACTGTCGTTATAGTAATATTTTTACCTTTGTTATAATATTTTTACTCTCGTTATAATAATATTTTTAGTCATTTTGATAAAGACTATTATAACGATTGTTCCTTTGGTATATAATACAATACAACGATACTAATATTTGAATAACCACTACATTGGAAAATACATGAAAAAACTTAACAACTCGCTTCATTGCATTGAGACACGTCAAAAATAATACAACAGTCAAAATGTGATATACAAAAAATCCGTTCAAGTCATTGAATATTCCATTCCTAAAACAAACTAAGGATCAAAATGTGAACAAAAAAATTCAGCTGCTAGTTTGATACACCAAGAGGGAATTATTATTTTTTGATCTACGCCTTTAACATACTTATTAGCATGCAAAAATTCAATGAATTTGATTGTAAACATCCCACAGTTAAACATGTAATATAAATGTACAATATCTATTAGTTTAACTGTTTCAAGTTTGATATAAATGTACAGTATCTCAAGTTTGATAATACACTTATAAACCTGATATGATCAAAATATATGTGATACGTACCCATTTGCTTGGCTAGGAGATTTTAACCATTTCAAATCAAATTTTTCTGCATTGTAGTTAGCATCTAACATCCTCATTAGCATTGGTACCACAACTCGAACGGACTCCAGTTCCATATCAAGTTGTGGCTTCCGCATGACACTTGTTGAACTATCATATGCGCAAATAGAGAGATTCATCTCAAGTGTTAGCTAATGGTCATTGTTCTCATTGCAAAAAGGAACATACAATTTAGTGCAATGAGTCTACGATTTTTCATGAGTGGGTATGATCCATTCCTTTGGCGTACTTAACTAAGGCCTTTGGAAAATTTTTTCGTATCAAAGATTTGACCTTTTGGTCTCTCTTTAAAGAAATTCTCACATAAGAGACGGAATGTACATCCAAGATGACACAATCTTGTCTAAACAAGAGAGAAAACTCTATACCACGCTCTCGAATGCGAAAAAGGACTGCATCTACATGCTAAGAGTATAATGTTTATTACATTAGTATATATCATGTTTAGAGAGGAATATTGAATAAATTTTAGTAAATAGTTTATCTCAATAGAAAGACATTGATTGTTCATAAGTTTATAAAATAATTCTTTCCGTGTTATACCCCAAGGTAAGTCAACTTCAGCACTACATAAAAAATCCGTAAATTAAACAAAGACTGATAAGTTTATATGTTAGAATAAGTAGCCCACAATTAACTTAACACAAATACATATCTTTTATGAGAGCTCGACAACCAACTACTTAAACCTTCATATTTAGCTGGTTCCACTGTCCTATAAGGGTCGTACTCCGTCACAGTTGGAAATTTTTTTTTCAAGATACCTCCACGGAGTAAGTAGAAGGACGACCTTTCTTTTCTTTCTATG